TTTTTTTCCGTAAGTTCTACAAAACCCAAAAATTTTCTAATGACTCCTGCAAAATTGTGCTGCCGAGGGGGAAAAGGATCTCGTTCGTCACTCGGAACAAGAAAATCAGGCAAGGTTTGTTTCGAATGACCAGCAATACCCTAGCATGCCAGCCGAGACTCTATACCGCCAATTTGCCCTATTTGTGAAAAGTGGGCGGGGCCTCTTCAAAGTGGGCGGAACCTTTCCTGTGGGCGGGGCTTCATGGAGCAGTCCAAAAATGAAAATTTTGAAAAAAATATCAAAATTCCGCAAAAGCAAGTGGGCGTGGCTCAGGGGCGGAGTTTAGACTGCTAAACCCTTTAGAGAATGGGCCGGAGTCGACCGTGTGCCGATGTCCAGTCGTTTTCAGTCAAAGTGTTTGTGGGAAACAGCAAAAGACAAGAAAAGTCACAGAAGCAGAAGTTATGAAACAAGATTTGAAAATCTATGTCCGCGCTGACAAGTAGGCGTGGCCGTCGGGGCGGGGCTCGCAGTGGTGTCTGGCGTGATCTGGTTGATGAATTGCTCGGCTTAATAAGTGTGGTGGCTGTGGTGAATTTGATTTGGAAAGTGATGGTGAGTCTGGTTTGAAAAATGGTGAATTCGGTTTGAGAAGTGGTGAATTTAACACGTTGACAACATTCTGAGCCACCGGTGGCTCATAAGTGAGTGGCCACGTGGGACAATTTGAGCCACCGGTGGCTCATAACTTTCTGGTCACTTTTCGGGTTATTGCTGTAGTCTCAATCGATCTTTTTCTTGCTTTCGAATAACCTGTGAAAGTTGAATGTCCAACAGGGATGAGCAAGAAAAATGTTGCTGCCTCCATGGGATATTTTGAATTAAAAATTGAAATTTTTCAACTAGCTACTGCTGCGGCAGAAACCTCCAAAATAGTTCTTTTTGGACGGAACGGGCGGGGCTTTGATCATGAATGTGTGACCTTATTCGTCGTTGGCGCCATATGGCGCCAGATCTTATTTGTAGTTGGCGCCATATGGCGCCAGTAGGCGCCATTTCAGCTAGATTATTTGACATCCTTGTCACGAATATCGTTGCCCTCCAGTGTTGGCGCCACCTGGCGCCAGCGGGCGCCACTTTGGCGCCAGCGATCTTTTTGACACCGAATTCGATAGAAATGTGTCGGTGTGGCCGTCTATGAACCATTGCAATGTGTGAAAAGCAGAAATTTCAAGAAAATTCCTAGAACAGAAGTTATGGCACACATTTTGGAAATCACGATCGCGCTAAAAAGTGGGCGTGATCGCAGAGGGCGGGGCATGAGATGGCATCCAATAGGGTCAAGGATGGTTGAAATAGCAGTCCCTGCACGACTGACTAATCATTTTGCGAAATTTGACATAGCGGCAAAAAAGTGGTCCACGAGGGACAATATGAGCCACCGGTGGCTCAAAGCGGACGCATGCGAAAGCACGCCATTGTCCCACGCGGCGCTTTCCCGCAAAACGCGATTGTCGTTAACGTGTTAAAGTGAAAATGGTATATCAAAATGCGTTGAGGTTGCGAAATGTTCCGTAGATGTCACCTCAGTGAAGACTTAGCATAAGCACAGATTTGTGCCACACTGGAGAGACTCTGTCCACAATGCAAATGGGTTCAGAGACAACACATCGTAAAATCACATTTGTATCCGCTCATTCCTTGAAAATGGAGACACTTGAATGCAAACTTTTAATTTCTCTGCATAGAACACTAGGCAATGTAGTCTTATGACTTGATTTTGTATTCCAATATAAATTGTTGCTGGCCGGCTCTGTTGAACATGATTATGGGCACGCGATTTGAGGCCGAAACAAGCACTGCGTCGCGATAGGTTGGTGAGCAGAATCTGCAAAAGAATCAGTGAGTGGTAGGCAAACTATATTTTCGACCGCCAATTTACCGGTATCCAGTTCGAGTTTGATCGTCAGTGGTCTTGATTTCCACGCCTCCTAGAATGCAGCCGTCATGAGCGTAGCCGTGTGAAATAGATTTGACCGTAATTTCAATCTTCTTTCCTTCATCAGCCTGGAAAAGTCCAGATCCAACTCATGAACATGTTGCAACTGCCTTTCATCGCATACCTCAATCCAGTAGTTGCAGAACTCGAACTCGTCCCTCACACCACCAAAACCAAGTCTTTTGACGATGATCTGCTTGCGCTCTGTCGCTTTCAATGTATCTCCGCATCCGGGCGGCTACAAAATGCGGCATTACTGAAGGGTATCCTTCAACGCTCCCTCAGCTTACTCGTTTGTCGCAAAGAGTGCCACCATAGCCGCTTGGACAAATACATTCAGAGCATTTTCGTGGATGAGGGAATCCTCCATTTTGACACTTCGCAGAAGGTCGCATTCGGGCACATTGCTGAACAGAAAGTGGTCTAGCCCCTAGTAGACTTGCCACGGCTCTCCTACCTTTGCAATTGTAGTGATCGTTTATCATAGACTTATCAATGAATGAAATGATCTGCGAGCCCATCGATTCCTGGTATCCTTGTATCATTGGCTACCATTGTGGGTTTCTTGTTGTGAGAGGCGCTGAATCATCGGGTATTGTGTCACCCTAGTTCACAGAATGCTGTAATTCTATTCACCTGGCTGCTCCGTAATGCATAATGCTACCATAATCATAGGTAAATCCATAGTTGGTAGTGGTTTCATTTGTCTCTTTCACGTACTTGATCTACGAAACCTTCCTGGAAGACGGTAGAATTTTCTTGTCTTGTGTTCTTATTGTAGAGTGTGTATATGTGACTTACCACAACATTATCAAGAACGACTGTAATGAATTCATCACGATCGTATCGTGACATGGTGTGGAAGAGCCCAAGCGCGTGACCGAGAGTTCATGTGTAGCGATTCCAACCTTAATTTTGTGCTGCGGTAAGCGGAGAGCGATTGTTACGTGAGAATTCATGTCAGTTCCACAATTTTCTTTAGTGAACTTCACAAACGTATCCACCTCTTACCTGATCGCATCCGTCACCAAGTGAGAGAGGTTGCTCACCACCGACTCGTCCTACATATGACCAGCAGCCATCTTCCTTGATTAGGACAATGCTGTTTTCAGCTGAAATTTTATCTATTGGCCATCCCACTACCGGCGCTTCTT